CGACACCACAGGGTCCACATGCACGCAGCACAAGAGCAAGAGACAGTGCGAAGGAAAACAAAAGCAGGAACCGCCGGGCTGGCCCCAGCCCAACCTCACGCAGGAACTGGGGAAGTGCTGATGAAACTGAGCATCTACACCCGCCCCGCGTACACACTACAGCGCGGGGCCTGAAACCCTGGGCCAAGGAGTCCACGCCCAGCTTAATTCCACGAAGCTCCAACCACACTGGCAGGAGCACTGTCTCGCATTCCAGCGGTGGCAGTGCGTGCCTAAGCATTGGTACTAAGTACTACCGCTTGCAAGCCGAGTGGCCCTGGAAAAAGACGATCGTAACTAAATGAAACCACGTCGTCAGCGCTCCCCAGAAAAATCCTAAACTCAGGAAAAAACAAACTTTCGTGTGAACATGCTCCATCAACCAAGCAACTCTCATTCTAACGCCGACACTATAAGCAACCAAATACAATACAAAATCATTATTAAATAATAGTGAATTATTCTTCTTAAAGCTTTATAAGTTCCCAGGGTGCCGTAAGGCAGGAAGGCGTTGTTACATAACGAACCACAAGGGGGGGCACTGAGGTCCACAGTGTTGCTGGCACAAGATCAACCCCATCACCACACCAGGTATGAAGCCCAGCACCATTACTTTTCTTCCTGGGGCGAGGATTCCTCCTCCACCCACCCTGTCCCCACTCTCCACAGGCCCAGGTGCCTTTTCCACAAGACAGCGGCAACTTCCCCTGATTAATCACCTGTTTCATGTCATTCATTGCATACGAGCCTCCCACCTTATAATGAGCAACATTTGGTGCCTATTTTATCTGATTCCTTGTTAGCTTGCACTGAGATAAATGCTTCCAGCTCCATGCCAATTCCTCGCAAAGGATCATGACTTCATCTTCCTGTTTCTTATGGGCTGCAATACACCATCCATTGCGCATGCTACCCACCATTTTGCTTACTGCAGTCCTATCTTGGATAGGGCAATTTGCGTGTCATCCATGCCTCCTTGCTATTTATCGAATCATCGTCACATGAACTAACTCTGACATGTACGCTATATAACTCAGACAACGATATTATATGGAGTATCACCTACCCCCAAGTAATGGGCACTTGTCATACTTCCGGTCCAACACATGATCATCTTCTGCTTCTACACCTCTTCGCGCGCACACTCTGACAATTTCTCCACAATGGTTGAACCTATTGACCAGTTGCCACCAGCGGTGGAAAAGCCGTCTCCTCTCTCACTGCACCTCACCGCATCTATTCGTTCTGAACTTTAGAATCTGCATTCTCGGCAATGACATGGATCATCGTGTGGTTTTGCATTTCATTCTCCTTCTTACTCACCAGCGAGTTGATGTCTTTTATTCATCATCTTGTTGCCACCACTGTAATATTTCCTATTCTTCTGAGAAACCTTCTGTTATTCTGTCCTTGCTTCCACTTTTTACTGGGGTTGTTTTCTTTCTTGATAAATTATGCTTATAAGTTCCTTTAACTTGATTTGAGACCTTTTTCAGTCGATTACTAGGGAATTTCAGCAAAAACTTTCTCCCATTCTTCTTAGATGTCCTGTTTGCTACTGTTCATTATTTTTTCTTTTTGCCTATGCAAATTCATTTAATTGATACCGTTGTCATGCTTTTTTTTCTTTCTGTTGCAATTGTTCCTGTCTCGCATTTTGTGTGTCTCATATGAAAACTTCCTGTACCTGTATTTTTCTGAATGCTATTTCTCGCCTAGATTTTCTTCTAGGGTTTAATGTTCTGGGTTTGAGCCCTTAAGTTCTTTAAGTCCATATACTTGCTGCTAAGTTGTTCCTAATGGTGTTAAAAACGGGTTCCATTTCAATTTCTGCATAAGCTATTGCCAGCTCCACACATCATCTCTCATTAAAGGAACACTTTTCCCCATCTGCTTCTGTCAGTGTATTATCTCTATTCGACCATTCGAGTATGAGGAATGTCTCACTCCCAGTTCCTTCAGCTCCTTGAGGCCACCTGTTAAAGGCTTTCTTGCGCTCTATCGGAGCCATGATGCGATGAGGGCCTGCCACTCCGCTACGCCGTGCCTCTGACACGCGGCAACCGGCGCGTGGTGGGAGCTGCAGCAGGCTGCCGTCGCAGGGGCAGGCCGACGTAGAAGGAGGCGCGCCGTCTGCATATCTCTATCTATGGGGCGGCTAGATGTTTTCTCTCCCTCCCCCATCGCGCAACACTGCACTCTCACGGATGTACTGCATGAATTGGGCCTCTGGATTCCTGTTGGGCTGGACAAGGAGGACTCACGCCGGCAGGCCAGGAATGCGCAGCTTCTTCCATCAGCAGGACAGTTCTGCTAAAATCCAAGAAGATATACCAGGCCCTCCACTACCACAACCTTAGACACTGTTTCTTAACCGTCAGAGGACAGGTTGGGACACACCAGTCATCCAGGCCGAACGCTGAAACAGTGACAGTGCCTGCAAAGAGAAAAACCCAGAAGTCTCAAACACCTGCCTATCACGTCGCCTTCTTATCCTGCAGTCAGCTGACTGGGAAGTAGGGAACCTCCTGCTCCCTCATATTTGCGAGCGCAAGTAAAATCATTGCCATTTTATTGAATAACATACAGTATTTTCCACCTGTAAAAGTTCATGAACTCAATCCACATAGAGCTATCTCCACTCAGTAAATACGAAGCACAACTCCAGAAAAACAGACTCACTGATACCGTACAGCCCTCCCCGATGCCCACTGCGTATGAAGTTTCTTTTTTCCTCTGCTTTTTCCTACTGGAGTGAGTTGTCAAACCTTTGCGTATCCTAGTCTCTTTGACTTTAACACAAACCGCACTGAACCTATTCATTTACTTACAATTCACACAGAAATATGCTAATGAACGGCGTCTCCCATATAATCATTCATCATAGATCTAACACTAACATTTACGTTAATAATTCCTCATAATTACCACTGTTTTTATTATGCCCAACTAAAGATTTCATTTTGGAACGCGTCTCAATGCAAACGTGACTTTCCGCTTTACAGGATTCGTCTTTACTTTAGCCTCATCCACCCAACATAGTCCTTACTATAGAGCACCACCTGAGTGCGTCTCGACCGCCTCCATCAGCAGCCAACTACCCGACGGGCGCTTCCGCCCTGCGTTAAGGGCACTAGCCGGCGGGCGCACCGGGGTGCGATGGACGACCGCCCACCACAGTCCGCGCACGATTTACTCGCGGTCTAACGACTCTGGCACGCTCGTCCTCAACTCCTTATATACGAAATACCCAATGCTCCAGATTCCCACAAAAGGTCTGACACTGACTTTACCCACTTCTTCTCGTACTCATCACTTCCCAGTGGACGGCCAGGTGTGATGACCATTATGACCCATTTGTAGACCCCACCGTGCGGGCCCAGCCTGCCCCCCCCGTCACCGTCCAACACCCAACCAGCTGCAGCTTTGGTGAACCACGATGGGGTACTGGGTCTCTGACTGGTCAGTCTCTCCGAGCTACAATATTTACCGTGCTCCCAATCTCGATGACTTCTCTCCTTCTCTTCTCACAACCGGGCATAAACCCACCCTCACTTCTGATCTGTGTCAACTCCTGGAGTGTTGTACATAAAGGCCCACACACGAGAGGCCTTCAACACCAGAGACTGGGATTCTCGCACACGCTCTGACGGCCTGGAGCAGGAGAGAGGAGCCTGTTCCTTTAAAATCACCAGACTCGGGGTCAACGGAAAAGACCTGCCGACAGGCAGCGGAGGATCCATAAACACACGCGCCACCCAGTGAACCATTACGTTCACTTTGTCAGTTCTGTTGATAGCAGCTTGTTATAATATTGGTATAATTTCCCCCCTCCTGCCCTCCAGCCACCTCCCAGAAGGAGACTTAATCACTGCACGCAGCTGCGAGCGCATGAGCGCCGACATTACGCCCTTCTGCCTGTAACTCCGCTCCCGCGCTCTCAAGTGAATTCTCGCCCCGCGCCCGTACCACCACCTGACTAACCTCGCGGGAATACTACGGATTACAGGGCACGCCACCATGCCCGCCTAATTTCCTGTGTTCTTCTTGTAAAGACGGCATTCACCCATGCGACCAGGCCGGTCTGAACTCCCTGACACCTTAATGATCTGCCTGCCCCCGCCTTCCAAAAGTGTCGGGATACAGGCATGAACACTGCGCCAGGCCTACAACATCATCAACTAAACAACTTCCACGTAAAGGAGAAAAGCAACAGACAAAGAATAGCTCAGCATACGTAAGGTAAAAATTGCATACCGTTCCTTGGCTTAGGATGACTGAATCGGCATGACATACTCGGCCCCGGTCCGCTGCAACCCAAAGCGACTCTTTAATGAGGGCCATGTTTCCATGAAAAGGACCCGGTGCTTTGCCATCACATGCAACAATTTCCCGCGACAACTGTCTAGATCCGGACAAAACTCAGAGAAAAGAATGCAGTCTTGAAGGCCCAGATCTCTTGACAGCAAGGCCACGAGCGGCAGCGCACACCGCCTCGTATTTCCTACTCATCATTCTTCAACGCACACCGGGGACACCCGCGGGCAGAGCGCGAGCGCGACTTGGAACTTGATTCAAAATAGTTGAAAAACTCGCTCCACCAGGACCATGCAAATCTCGAACCAGCGACGCAGATGGAATGGCTTCATGACTCCTTCCCTTCTCTCCCCTGCAAGCACGTCGCCACGCCTCTGAGCACTCTTGTCACGGCGCAGCGCCTTTTCCGGCATCTTCTCACGCTATGAAACACTTCTCTGCAATGGAGTGCAGTATTTACCACTGGGGGGGGGTCTGGCGAGGGGCCCTCCCGATATCCAGTAAGCACCACGATTAAGCTCAGGTTGGAGGAACTCCCACGGATAAAGTGGGGACTTTCTGAATCATCAGATCCCTGCAGCCAACGATACCTCCACCACATCCTCTCTTCTAATCCACCCAAATCCGTCCATGTGGCTCTGACCATGTCTGGAAACCACGCTTTGTAAAAAACGTCGGAAATTATTGTCTCAAGCAATCCCCAGAACTCCTAGGCAAAGCTGTACCTCACACGCCTTTACAGCAAACACGAGCTTGCCTATAAAATACCGGGCTCGGACGAACTCATCCACTGACTTGTCCCTTCTGACAAAGAGGAGGCAATGGCCCCATGCAAGAACAAGCGTGATCTGCGCCCTGTCCTCGGTGTACCATGGCGCTTGGCACCCGCCCAGTCCAGACAGTAAGCTTCTCTTCCTGCCCCTCGTGGCCCAGCCGGCTCGAGAACCTCTGCCGGGAGGCCCCTGTCGTACATAAACGAATTTTTCGCAGCACCATGTTTGGGCCAGGCTTCTCAGCCCTTAAAAGTATATCACTATGTACAGGAATTGGCAACCAAGCAGCGGGGGCAGAACAACAACCAGGGTCCAGGACCCCGAGCCCTCTGACACATTCGACCACGAGGCGCTGCCTCGGTGCGGCTTATTACCCGTGTCTGGGGAAGACTTTACAATCCTCCCAAGTTCATGCTTTCAAAGAGGAAACGTCGTTCGTAGGTGGAGTCTCAGAAAGTCTCCGATGTGTCATCCAAATCATTTCCCCAGGCAGACCCTCACCAAGCCCATCCAGATAGGCCCAACAATGACTTCCTTGAATGGCCAACCTGCCAGACCTCTTCCACAGCCAAACTGCCCATCCCAGGTCCGAACTGAGACCCTCTCCACAAGTCCTGGGCCCCTTGGACCCATGCTCTGGGATCAAAGCATCTATCCCATGAATAGAGCTGCTGGCAACCCCCTGGTTCCCGGTTCGATGCTCAGTCGACTTCGGTTTCCCCTGACGCTACTCTAGGATGGAGAACGAGCCCACCTGCCTTCCCTTGGCAGCTTGGCATCTCAACTCCTCTCATACCCTGCACAATGCATCACAATGTTGCCTCAATGCTGCTTCGGAACAATCGTCTGGCGCCAGCCGTCCTGGGACTGCTTTCCAGCTCAGGAACACTGAAAATTATTCACATGTTTTAGGTCAGTTCAAGCGGGGGAGGGCAGACAAAGCTTTCCACGCTTCAAAGCAAGGCTCAAGAGCTGAAGAGGCCACGCACAGTGTGGTGCCATTGCCATCTACCTCCCTCCAGCCACCTCCTTCGATCGCGCTGTGAGCTACCGCCTGAGGCGATGCTTGCGCACATAGCGAAACGAGCCGGCATCGCGGCCATCGCGGAAGCCCCCAAGCCATGGCAAGGGACTGGGGCGCGGGAGCTTTGGAACCGCAGGAGAGAGGCGGCCTCATGGTACACGAATCGAACCGGTGAGTCTCATGCTGCCACCCCCAGCCCATCTGCCCTCCGCCCGTGCCCCACCCAGCCCCATCACTGGCCCCCTGTGCGGTGAATCACAGAGGCGCAGTTAACTCCCTCCCCCCCCGGCCACACACACTCTGGCTCACAGGCTCAGCAGCTTCCCTTGTGAGTCACCCCAGCGGTCCATGACCCTCTTACACAAAACCTCCAGAAATTGTGATTACAATTTACACATTTGCGCTGTGGAAATCCATCTTCCATTATTTCGTCATGACAACAACAGCGCGGGGCGGGGGTGGGCCAAGACAGCTCGCTGCGCAGAGGCGCCGGGCTGGAATCCTCCTTCCTGAGGAGAAAACCCCCCCTCCATTGATAATCGCTCCCTCACCACGGGCACTCTTCTGACCCCCAATGCATTCGAGCGGGCGGTCCACCCCTTCCACACACACGGCGAAGCGAAAAGAAGATCGAATCAACCATCCGCCACCCCCAGGGCACTTGGGGGGTCAACACGAAGCCCGTGGAGTGCAGGGCGAGGCACCCTTTCCTCCTCACAGGAACCAGGATTTCAGCCCGCGCGCCGCTCCTCCCCACCGCTTCTTGGATTGACACTACAGCAAATAAAAAATGATTCCACAACGCCAAAATGTAGCATAAATTCTAGACACAATTTCTAGATTCCTGTTGTAAGAGGTCATGGACCTGAGAACTCCAGGAAGCCAGGGTCCGACACCCAGCCCATCCCACACCGGGTCCGGGGGCTGGCCTGGCGGCGGAGATCCAGCACTACAGACCCCTCACCCGGATCTCATTCTGCTACACAAGACGCGCCCGCCTCCTCCCTCCGTTCCAAACTCCCCGCTCCCTGCATGGCGTTGGGGCTCCCCTCTGCCCGACTGCCGCGGCTTCTCTTCTATGCTGCGCAAGCCCACCCCTCAGGCCCCGTAGCCCACAGCAGCGATCAAGAGGTGGCTGGAGGGCAGTAGAGGCATGGACACCACCACTGGGTGCCCCCTCTTCAGGCCTCTCTGGAAAGCCTTGCTTTGGAAGCGTGGAAAGCCCTTTCTCCTGCCCCCAGCTTGAAACTGAACCTAACAACAGCGAATAACTTATTCATCTCCCTGCAGCTGGCAAAGTGCAAGTCCCAGACGCTGCCACACCGCATTTCCCGACAGCCCTAGGGCAGACCATTGATCCATTCTGCAGGTAAAGGAGTTGAGATGCAAACACTTCCCAAGGAAGCAAGAGTGGGCTCTTCCTCCACTCCCTAGAAGGAGCCAGGGCAACCGATCCACTTGACAACACCGGGGAACAGGGGTTGCCAGCCACGCATTCATGGGATAGATGGCTTTGACTCCCAGAGCATGGATCCCAGGGGAGCCCAGGAACCTGTGGAAGAGGGTCTCCCAGTTGGCCACCACTGGGATGGGCATTTGGGCCTGTGGAAGAGGGTCTCCCAGGTGGCCACCACTAGGACAGGCATTTGGGCCTATCTGGATGGGCCTTGGGAGGGTCTGCCCCTGGGGGAAATGTTGGCATGAACACTCGGAAGCACTATTCTGAGACTCCACACCAACACTTCCTCTTTGAAACATGACACTTGGGAGGATTGTAAAGTCTTCCCAACACGGGAAAACAGCCCCCACCGAGGGCAGCACCCTCCTCGTCGCACATCTCAAAGGCCTCCCGGGGCCCTGCCACCCTGTGTTAGTTGTTCTCCCCCTGCTTTTGCCAATCCTGTAACATAGGATATACTTTTAAGGGCCTAGAACAGCACCTGGCACAAAACAGGTGCTCAAAAATATGTATGTAAAACAGCAGCTCCCGGCAGAGGCTTCCCGAGCTGGCTGTGGCCCCACAGGGCAGGAAGAAGCACACCTTACCTGTCTGGGACTGGGCCAGGGTGCCAAGGGCCAGCATGGACACCAGGACCAGGGCGCAGATCACCTTGTTCTGCATGGGGGCCATTGCCTCCTCTCTGCTCCAAAGGCGACCCCAAGTCAGGGATGAGATTCCGTCCGAGCCCCGGATTTTATAGGGCAGGCTCTGTTTGCTTAAAGAGCGTTAGGTAACATTTGCCTAAGGAGGTTCTGGGATCCTCTGAGACAATAATCTCCACTGATTTTTAGCAAAGGTGTTTCCCAGACATGGTCAAGCCACATGGACGGATTTGCTGATAGAAGAGAGGCATGTGGTGAGGTCATCTTGGCTGAGGGATCTGAGATTCAGAAAGTCCCTCTTATCCCGTGGGAGTCTCCTCCAACCTGACCTTAATCCGGGTCCTACTCATATCTGAGGGGCCCTCCCACCAGGGTAAATACTGCACTCACTGCAGAAGTGATTCATAGCGAGAGATGGCCGGAAAAGGCTCGGCCGTGACAAGAGTGGCTCACAGGGTGGCCACCGTGACCTTGCAGGGAGAAGGGAAGGAGCTCATGAAGCCCATTCCATCTGCTCTGGTCTCAGATTGAAATGGGCCTGTGAGCGGTTTTCAACTATTTTGAAATCCAAGTCTCCAAGTCTGTGTCTGAACAAGATGAGTAGGGAAATACGAGGCGTGTTCCTCCCTCTTTCCTTCTGTCCCCAAGCGATCTGGGCCTTCAAACTACATCTTTCCTCATGAGTTTCGTCCGATTAGACATGTCCACGGCAAATTTGCATGTGAGCAAAGCACCCGAGGTCCTTCATGGGGGAAACATGGCCCCATCTAAAGAGGCTCCTGCTTGGGTTTGCACGGACGGCAGTAACTGTCAACCATTCAGCATCCTAAGCCAAGGAACTGTATGCACATTTTTACTTACGTATCTGAGCTAATTCTTTTCTGTTCTTTTCCCTTTTACAGTGGAATTGTTTTAGTGATGAAATTGTAGGCCTGGCGCAGTAGTTCATGCCTGTAATCCCGACACTTTTGGAGGCCGAGGCAGGCAGATCACTTAAGGTCAGGAGTTCAAGACCAGCCTGGTCAGCATGGTGAAACCCCGTCTTTACAAAAAACACAAAAATTAGCCGGCATGGTGGCGGGTGCCTGTAATCCTAGCTACTCCCGAGGTTAAGTCAGGAGAATCACTTGAACCTGGGAGGCGGAGGTTACAGCAAGTCGAGATCACGCCACTGCACTCCAGCCTGAGTGACAGATTAAGTCTCCTTCTGGGAGGGGCTGAGGGCAGGAGGGGGGAAAAACAAATTGTATATACAAGCTGCTATCAAAAACTGACAAAGTGAACATGGTTCACTCCGCTGTGTCTATGGGACTCCCTCCCTCCCCCTCCCACGTCTTCCCAGTTAGTCCCCCGGACTCCTGTATTTTAAAGGACAGCCTCCTCCTCTCCTGCTCCAGGCCTCCAGAACTGTGCGAGAATCCATCTCTGGTGTTGAAGCCACTCAGTCTGTGGGACTTTATTACAACAACTCCAGGAAGTTAACACAACCAGAGTGACTCTGCCCTGGGAAGAAGAAAGTATCGAGATCTGACTGCACTAAATATTAGCTCTGAACTGACACCAGTCAGAGACCCAGACCCCATCGTGGTTCACCAAAGGCTGCAGCTTGTGGGTTGGAGGTGACGGGGCAGTCTGGGCCCACGTGGGTCTCACAATGGGTCCAATAAGGTCACACACCCTCCACTGGGGGAAACAGATACCTACAGACACAGAAAGTGGAAATCAGTGTCACCTTTTTGGAAATTAACATGGTACTTTGTATCAAGAGTCTGAGGAAAAGTCCACTCTTAGACCCAGTAAATCTGCACTGGTGGGCGTTCTCCCATCCAAGTCCTAACCAGGCCCAACCCTGCTTAGCTTCTGAGATTCAGGCAAGCTCAGACGCACTCAGGGTGCTATAGCTACAGACTATGTTGGTGGATGAGCTAAAGAAAAAATCCTATACACAGGGAAAATCACTTTGCATGAAGACGTCCATCAAAAGAAATCTTAGTTCATAATAAAAACATGTAATATGAGGAATTATTAACTAAATGTTAGTTTAGCTCTATGATGAAATATTATGGAACCCTCACTAGCATATTTCTGTGGAATTCGTAATAACATGGAATAGTTTCATGCTTTAGTGTTAAATCAAAGAGAACAGGATACAAAAGTTTACAAACCACTCAGTAGGAAAAAGCAAAGAAAAAAAAAAGAAAATATACCAGTGGGCATCGGAGAGTGCTTAAGTATCAGTTACGTCTTTTTTCCTGGATTCTGCCTTCCTATTTACTGAAATAGCTCTATGATGAGCATCATTAACTTTTACAGTGGAAAAATACTGTATGCTTACAAATAAAATGCAATGATTTTACTCTCCCCAAAAAGAGAGAGACAGAGGAGTTCCCCTACCTTCCCCAGTCGATGACTCAGTGAGTAAGAGACGGAGGCAGGTGTTTAACTTTGGGGTTCTCTGCAGGCCATGTCCCATGTCACGCTTGCCCCATGACCTGTGTCCTCACACCTTCCCTGAAGTTAAACACAGGTCTAAGGTTGTGGTGTGAGTGGCCTGTAATCTCTTAGATTTTAGCACCTGCTAGGGAGAAGCTGCCCATTCCTGCCCGCTGAGTCCTCCTTGTCCCACCCAACAAATCCCAGAGGCCCAACTCAGTACAAATCAGTGAGATGCAGATGTGCCCATGGAGGGAGGAGAACACATCTGGCCCCATCAATGGTAAAACGGCACCCGCCTCTCCTCTCCACACTCCCTGCCCCTCACAGCCACCTGCTGCAGCTCCCACCACCCTTCCTGTTCAGAGGGGCACGGCAAGGCAGGGCAGCCCTTCCATCCATCATGGCTCCAAGAGCCAAGAAAGCCTAACAGTGGCCTTCAAGGAGCTGAGAACTGGGAGTGAGACATCACTCACATCATCAAATGTCGAAGAGAAAAACCTGACAGAAGCAATGGGGAAAAGATTCCCTATTTAATAAATGATGTTGGGAGAACTGGCTAGCCATATGCAGAAAATTGAAACTGGACCCCTTCTTTACACCTTAGACAAAAATTAGCACAAGATGGACTAAAGACTTAAAGGTAAAACCCAAAACCATAAAAACCCTAGAAGAAAATCTAGGCAATACCATTCAGAACACAGGTACAGGGAAAGTTTTCATGACAAAAATGCCCAGAACAATTGCAACAAAAGCAAAAACTGACAACGGGTTCCAATTAATGAGCTTCTGCATGGCAAAAGAAACTATCATCAGAGCAAACAGACAGCCTACAGAATGGGAGAAAGTTTTTGCAATCTATCCATCTGACAAAGGTCTAATATCCAGTCTACAGGGAACTTAAACAAATTTACAAGAAAAAACAACCCCATTAAAAAGTGGGCAAAGGACATGAACAGACGTTTCTCAGAAGAAGATATTCATGTGGCCAACAAATGTGAAAAAAGCTCAACATCACTGGTCACTAGAGAAATGCAAATCAAAACCACAACGAGATACCATCTCATGCCAGCCAGAATGGCAGTTACTAAAAAGTCAACAAACAATAGATGCCGGTGAGGTTGCAGAGAAAAGGAACGCTTTTACACCGTTGGTGGGAATGTAAATTAGTTCAACCATTGTGGAAGACAATGTGACGATTCCTCAAAGATCTAGAAGCAGAAATATCATTTGACCAAGCAATCCCATTACTGGGTATATACTCAAATATAAATCATTCTATTATAAAGATACATGCACGCATATGTTCATTACAGCATGATTCACAATAGCAAGGACATGGAATCAACCCAAATGCCCATCAATGATAGACTGCATAAAGAAAATGTGGTACACCAATGGAATACTATGCAGCCATAAAAAGGAATGAGATCATTTCCTTTGCAGGGACATGGATGGAGCTGGAAGCCATTATCCTCAGCAAACTAACACAGGAACAGAAAACTAGGCACCAAATGTTCTCACTTATAAGTGGGAGCTGAATGACAAGAACACGTGGATACATCAGGGGAAAAAGGCACACTGGGGCCTGTGGAAGAGGGACAGGGTGGGTGGAGGAAGATCATCAGGAAGAAAAGCTAATGGATGCTGGGCTTAATACCTGGGTGATGGGTTGATCTGTGCAGCAAACCACTGTGACACATGTTTCCTTATGTAACAACCTGCACTTCCTGCCTACGCACCCTGGAACTTAAAAGTTAAAGAAAAGAATAATAATAATAATAATAATAACTCCTCTTGTATTGGTAATTTAGGTTGCTTATAATATTTCACTATAAAGGAAGATTTCTTTTGATGGACATCTTCACACAAAGTGATTTTCCTGAGTTTAGGATTCTTTCTGGGACGCAGACACACAGGTCTCAATTCTACACCCTCCTTTCCAGGTGCCACCGGCTCTGCCAAGCTGTAGTTACTTAAACTACCAATGCTTAGGCACAACTCCAACCAGGCTGGAATGCAGACCTGCTCCTCCCAGTGGGTGACTTTGGAATTAAGCTGCTGACTCCTTGCCAAGGTTTCAGCCTGGGTTAGTGTGGACGCTGTAGATTCTCATTTATCAGCACCCCAGTCCCTGCAGTCAGTGGACTGGGCCAGCCCCCTTCCTCGACACCATGTCCCTTCCTCCCTCTCACAGGCACTGCTGGAGCCTTGGCTCCTTGACCTCTGTGCTCCCCCTATCCTGGCCACGTGCCCTGGCTGGTGCAGCCTCCCATGACCCAAGTATTCCCTCTGGCCATCTGCCCACCACCCCGGCCTCAACCCTGTGAATATGGCCCCTCGTGGTGGTCAACTCATACCTACCCAAGACAGAGACATGTGGTGAAGTTTTTAGTCCAGGTGTGAGGATTTTCTGTCTGGTTTGGACTGATGATGAACAGTTCCTGCTTCTACTGAGGGAAGGTCAAAAACTACAAATTATCTGTACGGAGAAGGTCCCAAGGATGGTGGTGGCTCATCCCTGGTACTGCTTCCAAGGCCTGTTCCCACCATGATACTCCATGAGTCCCAGAGATAAAGACATGATGATGAAGAGGCCAGAGTGTCCATTGGTTTAGTGATCCATCAAGATTGACCAAGAGGAAAACCTTCATTTGCTGGACAAAGGCCCAGGATTTGATCACCTCT